GCACTGACAGAGGCAATACCCAGCTCACTCTCAGTTTTGTTTGGGTCCCCTGACAATTGAGTTTCCATAATCTGGCCGGCTCAGAGACACCATCATGTGTGGTATATTCACAAATGCAGACAACAGAAATTCTAGAAAGCCAGGGGTGAAAAAAATCTTTCCTTTCTCAGACACTTCTGTGAAGTCTATGTGGGCTAAGGGGAGAAGAACAGAAGTTTCTCTGGGCCTTGGCATCTTGGGATCCCTTCTCTCATTTTCTAAAAATGGTTTCTCACGACAGGCTAAGGAGGTGGTGGAGGAGGAGGTCTCCCTTCCCCTGCCCACCTCAGACAGTTCTAGGGAGACAAGAGGTTTCACCACTTGGCCACTAGTCTCAAGTAACCGGAAAGCTCCTTTTCCTGAGGCCATGCAATGTTCTGGAACCACAGCACGCCCCCCGCCCCCCCCCTCCCCCCGCAACCCCCCATGGGAGCACAGACGGGCAGGCCTCGAACCCACAGCCACTTTTTTGTCCCGAATCTCGGGCAAGCCCTCATCACCAACAGGGTCTTATGGGCAGTCTAGACTTGCCAGCCCAGTCCTTGAACTTGGAGAGGGAGGTAGGGCTTGAAAATGCCTTGTCCCCAGGGCACCCTGTTGTTGGAGCCGAGCCCTGTGCCCACAGCTGGGTTCAGTTTGCAGGCACCGCTGTGGCACTCTTTGCTGGTGGGAATGGAGAGGCCTCACTGGCCTTCTTTGCCTTTTTCTTCTTTTTGATTCCAAGCGACACCTGGTCCCCGGTGAGCTCACCTGACTTCTGCTTCTGGACCGTGGCCGCGCTGGGGGCGGTGGTGGTGACTACTACCGCCACCTTCTTGGCTTTGTTTTTCGACTTCCTTTTCTTCTTTGCCTCCTTCTCCATCGTGCCAGCGCCGTGGATGGCTGACTCCTGCAGGATGTCCGACGCCGACACAGCTGCCTCCCGGCACCGCCGCCACTCCTCGTCGCTATCCTCACTGGAGCTGGAGGGCGGGCGCTTTCGGCGGGGTTGGGGCGACTCTTCCTTCTTACGGCCTCCAGGGACAGACGTGAAGAAAAGGCGGAAACCATCATCCTCTGAAGCGACTTTCTGTACCTGAGCTTTTGTTGGCTCCTTTGCTACTTCTGAGATGGTAATGAAGCTGTCCAGCAGGGCTCCCAGCTTCTTGGCTACGTGGGCTTGGAATTCCGGGGTGGTCTGAAGCTCGTTGCCGTCTTGTTCATGCTCACCCATCTTAGGCCTAAGGCTCGGTTGGGAGGTTGACAACTGGTTATTTGCAGCACCGGCTCTTGGCTTCACTGCCCCGTGCGGCCGTTGCTCCAAGCCCCAGGCCGGCTTTGCCGCCTCACAGCACCACGCCACCTCCACCGCATCGCTACTGCTGCTACTGCTTTTCAAATCACTTACTGCCATTGGGCACTGCCATTTTGAACTATTGCCAGAAATGGACAATACTTGGGCCAGGCGCAGTGACTCACACCTGTAATCCCAGAACTTTGGGAGGACGAGATGGGAGGATCACTTGAGGTCAGGAGTTCGAGACTAGCCTGGCCAACATGGTGAAACCCTATCTTTACTAAAAAAAAAAAAAAAAAAAATTAGCTGGGCATGGTGGTATGCACCTATAATTCTAGCTACTCAGGTGGTCGAGGCACAAGAATTTTTTGAACCTGGGAGGTGGAGGTTGCAGTGAGCCAAGATCATGCCACTGCACTCCAGCCTGAATGACAGAGTGAGACTCTGTCTCAAAAAAAAAACAAAAAGCAAAAAACAAAAAAAAAAA